ACTCTATCCGATGATTTGCAAGCGAAGTAAATTGTCCCTTCGTGATAAGGTGACACTCTACAAAACTTCCATACGCCCGGTCATTACCGGACATAGTTTAGTCAATAAGTTCAAAAACTTGAAAAATAGAGATAAAGGTCTTAAAAATATGAGCGATAGCTCATTGGATTCGGAATCACCTCTAGAAAAATGTTTTTGAAGGATTTTGGTGCAGGTAAAAAATTGCAATTGTTATTAAGAGAATGAGATGAAACAAAAAATGATATTTAGTTTTTCGTTAATAACTCTAAAAATATTAATAGTTAAGGAATTTTCAGGAAGTTCGTTAAAGAGGAGAAAATTTCCGAAAAATAGGTCCGTACTCCCGGAACTCTATCTCTATTATTTATAATTTTACTTTGACGTTGAAAATAGGGCTCCGCGCGGATGATACGGCATGCGCGCGCCACCGCTAAAAATAATTCATCAGATAAAATATTTTTTTATAACATAAAACGTCATTTACTATAACGATAATGATCAAATTCAACGCTCAGTTTTGTATAGCGCTTTGAGCACAAAGTGGATGTGGGATATAGGTTTAATTTAATTTTTTTATTTTTCTGATCAACGATCAGAAAATTAAAAAAAGCGAGAACAATCAAGGCATATTTGATTGAGTGCATTGATTTTTGTTCAATAATACAGATTAACTATAGTATGTCTATCATTTGAAATAGACACAAGCCTTTCAATATTGGAACTTTTAATCTAGATTTTAGCTTTAATGAACATTATGCAACATGTTTGGAGTTTAACATTTATGATTATCTCTGTCTTATCATCGACAAACCCAAAACCTGATTACGTGAGTTTGCTTTTTTTTTTCAAATTTTTTTTTACAATATACATTTTATAAAAAACCATCATACTTTAATGTAATTATCTCACTTATTTTATTTCAATACTATTTATAGTTTCGCTACATACACAAAATATATATCTAATTTAAAAGCAAGAAATATGCTTTTAAAAATTCAAATAAAAATATTTTTTTTATCGACTTTTTTGTATTATCATCAGTAAAAGTGCATTTATAAACAAAAACTAAGTCTATTGTCTCTGTTTGTATTCATTTGTCAATAGTCACTTTAAATTAAATAATGAGTGAAAAGATCAATTAATGTACTTAATTTTCAATGATGTTTTGTTTAGAATTTGTTTCGTTTCAATCTATTCATTGTTTACGCCTGCATTCAGGCCCGAGCTTTATAAAGCTCGTAATTCGAATCAGAGATATAATTTCATCCTAAAACGTTTACAGATATTTGTTTCAGGGACCCATTTCAATCACCACAAGTCGTTTCGAGAAATGTAAAGGACCAAGAAGAAGAGATTGCTCTGACGTGAAACTTGATTTGAACAACGGAATCTTCATCACGTATGATATCTTGGTCAAATCATACATCAAACTCACAACTGTGAGTGAATTCTTTTGAATAAATAGACATAGTCGATTAATGTGACTCTTTTAAAAGTACGCGTAATAAGGTATTTTTGACTTTGACTATTTGAGCCTCTTTTTTTTTGTGATACCAAATTATAGATCAACAAAGATATCACAAAATGAATGCCATGTCTTAGCCTTGAAACGAAAACGCCTGACCTCTTTTTCCAACTTATTCGCTGGTAGCCTAGGGGGCTTTTTTTTGCGGGGCGAAATCCTCCTGAACTACCTCCGTCTGGGGAAAGGCGGAGGGGCGTGCCGGACTTCTACCGGCTAAAACCACCCCGGTGTCTCCCCACACGTGCGCGCGGGCCCGCGGGAATCTAAATTCTTCCGCAGCCCCACACCAGTGCTGGCCCGGTCTGTTCAGGCCTCGAACCATATAATATATGAATAAACCATATTCCAGGGTCGGATTGTTGCAGTTTCAAACGGTAAAGAAATTACGAGATATCAGATGAAAACGCCATGCGATAACTTTCTAGTTCAAACTATGTTCAAAATTCATTTAAATGTATCAAATGAATGTGCCGTTAAAAAGGTTTGTATCTCACTTATTTAGGCTTGGTATTGTTTTTTTGTAGCAAAGAGAAAATCACCTAACTACCAACTTTATTTTGGAAATTGGCGGGGTATATCGAAGTTTCTCAACAATCGACGTACGAGCCTCAGAAAAGACGGAACTGAACAAAGACAGGCTTGGGTAAGGCGAGGGTATTGCAAGTATCCCCAGGATACCCCGACTCAGTCGGAGAATTGTGTCCTTCGTTACCCGATTGCTGTTTTTCGCGGCGCGTGTAGAGTAGCTAAGACGTATTCCATGCAAATCTCCAAACCATCATACGGAAGGGCCCTCAGCACACTACGGCTCATGGCTTGGCGGCAACTAGCTAGTGTGAAGATAAAACAATGCTCTCAGTCACAGTCCGCTACCTGCTTTTGCGAGAGAGTGCATTTACAAAAGTCGAAAAAACAAAGCTCTCCCCCGGTAATCCTGCAAGAAAAGGCAACTTGAGCCCCCTGGCCTTGAGTTCCCCTGGCCTTTAAGGCATAAAAATTAAATTCGCAATCTTGCGGATGGCATCTAAGTAATGCAATCACCGGACGACCATAGGGCCCTCACCTCTTACCTCCGTAAGGAGCGTATAAGTTTTCATACTTATACGCTCCAGGAGGAGCGTGAACACCGCGTTGTTATACGTGGAATCCCGAAAGAGTTAGATGTCGAGCTCGTCAAGGCCGACCTGTTAGAACAAGGCCTACCAGTGAGTTCAATGGAACCGCTTGCACACCGGCCGCGTTAGGCAGCCATATAATATGGTTCTATTTTCCCTCCAGTCTACTCCCGAGGGTAAGCAAACTTGTAACATACGGATCGTCTGTAGGCTCTCCAGTATCGCCGTCGAAGACCCCCATAAAAAGTAACTCCTAGCCAGTGCCATAATTGCCAACTGTACGGACACTCTTCCCGTAACTGTCACGCGTGCTCCCGATGTCTTAAGTATTTGGGCGATCACGCCACGGCCCTTTGTGCGCGCGACAAGAAAACCGCTACCGAATCGCCTAGCTGCGTCCTGTGCCGTACACAGGGTCACCCCGCGATCTACCGCAGATGCCCCGCAACCGCATACCGTGCAACCTAACCTAAGCATCAGTCCGTTGAGTTTCTCACCGGATCTTCTCAGCGGGTCGCTATTCCGATCCGGTAGTAGATTCATTCGCGAAGCAGCTACTCTTGAGTTGTTAGATCTCCCTTGGAGGCGCTCGGATAGCTGTTAGCAAATCTCACCCCTTCTGGCTGAGCCCTTGCTCACCCACCTGTCCTTGTGAAACTGGAAAGACCTCCGGGCCACCAGTAAAGCTATCAATCATAAAAAAAACAATTCGTCACTGGCGAGCGTCGCAACCATGACACTCGGCAGTCATCCTCGCATCATTGATCCAAAAATCCAGTAAATCCCTTGCATCGCTTAAGACAAGACGTCCTACCGGTGGTGCGACATCTTGTGGGTCCGCACGGGTTAGTAGCACAGTACTGCCTATTTCTACCGTGAAACAGTAATGCGAGTAGGATCAACGCAAGGTATGCATATTACATAACATTTGTTGTTTCCATTAAAGGGGAAATTTCTAATATTATGCTTGGGTTACCCGAAACGTACAAGCACTACTTTAAATAATAGGCACTAACATATGGTGTGATCAATGGCCCTATACGGGGCGCCTGTGTGGGGCCAGTCCCTGGCCGCGGGGGTGGCGAAGCCGCTGTAACGGCCGCAACGCACCATCGCGGTCAGGGTCATCCGTGGTTATCGCACCATCTCCTTTGAGGCGGCGTGTGTACTGGCTGGGATGCCGCCTTGGGTTCTGGAAGCAGAGGCGCTCGCCGCTGACTATCAGCGGCGGGCTGATTGCGCGGACTGAGGAGTATGAACTTTCCCACATTTTTAGAGAATTTAGAGAAGGAGTGCAGAATGTTACATACTATTTGTTTATTGTCAAAATTTTTTTATTGTTTGTAGTTTGTGGTCAAATTGAGAATTGATTATATATTGTTTGTCTTTATTAATATATTTTTAGTGTAGTTTTGGCGAAATCTGTGATTATAGAAGTATAATAAATAGTTTTTGACAATGTAATCAAAATACTTATAATTTCAGTTAATTATTATTATAGTCGAATTTCGACTGCTGCGGGACTACTAGTAAATATAGATAGATAAATATTATTATTATTTGCAAATCTAATTTAGTGATAATCAAAGACAAAGTAACGTGGATTTTTCTCTAATTTGTTTTAGGGACATTATGTTTTCAAATTAAACCTTCAAGACATATCGCAGAAGTACTTCGATGGAAATTATTTTTACGGAAATTGGACTTTTCGTACAGTCTTCGCCGGGAGTGAATGCAATTTTTTGTGTGCAGTTATGGAATTAATAATCTCACCGAAATAGGTAGTTTAAGTTTACAAAAAATATATTTGACTAAAATTTTTTTCAATGAGATGAAATGTTACCATTCATTAAAGGATTCAATACGCCACAAATATATTTTTGTAAAAATAATCGTTAATAATTTTCCTAAATAATATAGCTAATATTTACAGTAGTCTAAGCTGTTAAGATCAATTTTATAACTACCACAAACATTATGTAACAGTCTTATTCCAACCATTATTTGTAATGCAACTTTTAAAACACTTCTAAAAATACTATAAGATGTAATACATTCATAATTATACTTTTTTCTTGCTTATTCTACTTAGTGAATACTAATAAATGTCATTTTAAAGAAATCGTTTTATTTTTATCATTTGTTTTTAATTTTGATTCATTGATCGAATCGAAATCGTCATAATCCCATCACTGTTGTCATTAGACATCAATACGATCCACCCGTTAATACGCTTGTTATGACTATTATACTCATGCAACATTAATACAAAAAGTCTGAAAACAATTTATTAATAACTTGCTAGCCCGGCAGACTTCGTAGTGCCTCAATCGAGAAAGGAAAGACCTAAACTTTTGTAAAAAATAAACTTAAAACAAACAAAAGGAATCCGTCCGACGGAGGACACATCAAATGAAAACAAAATGGTTATTTTTATTTAATTCCGAGCATTTTCATATTTATCTACCTTTGAAATCTTTTCTGGACTTCCATAAATAATTCAAGACCAAAATTAGCCAAATCAGTCCAGCCGTTCTGGAGTTTTAGCGAGACTAACGAACAGCAATTAATTTTTATATATCTAATATATAAAATTCTCGTGTCACAGTTTTCGTTTCCATACTCCTCCGAAACGGCTTGACCGATTTTGATGAAATTTTTTGTGCTTATCCGGTATCTATGAGAATCGGCCAACATCTATTTTTCATCCCCCTAAATGTTAGGGGTAGTCCACCCCTAAATTTTTTTTTATTTTTTAGACAAAAATTTTTGTTTTAATTTTTTTATGATACAGCATACAAAAATACATACAACCCTAAATTTTCACCTCTCTACGATCAACCCTTATTTTTTATTTGTTAATTAAAAACTAAATTTTTTTGCAAGAATTTTGTTTTTATTTTGTCATGACTTAGAATAAAAAATTTCATATTACTCTGAAATTTTCACCCCTCTACGATCAACCCCTATTTTTTATTTGTTAACTTTAATTTTTTTGGCAAGATTTTCATTTTTATTTTTATTTTGTCATGAATTAAAATAAAAAATCTGATGTTACTCTCAATTTTTCATCCCTCTATGATCAACCCCTTTTTTATTTGTTAATTATGAACTTTAATTTTTTTGTCAAGTTTTTTATATTGTTTTGTCATTACTTAAAATAAAAAAAAATCATATTACTGTCAATTTTCACTCTTATACGATCAACCCCTATTTTCCATCCCGATTAATATTTTTTTTATTCTATGCACAAATCCGCAATAAGGTTGCAAGATGGCAATCAAATATTATAATTGTAGTACGATAAATTCTTATTCAGAGTTTATAATTTCAAGTTCCTTTAATTATGTTTTTTTTTAAATTGAATTTGATCTCCCGCCCTCGCTGGTCGACTACTGATCAACTATCAATC